GGTACATCAAGAAAAACAAGACTAGTTACACCTTTGAGATTAAGAAATACAATTACATTTTCCTCAGGATCCAGTCCTAATCGAGGTATGAAGTATGAACAACAACAAGTATACATACGTACAAAGAAGAGCGATACGAAACTGTGATTGAATAAACAGTGGATGGCGCAATTTTTCTGTCATGCCAACGGTTATAACAGATTTACCTGAAACATGCAAATGAAATTGGGTTCTTTGTTTGGACTTTCATGTTGTTTGGTGTTGTCAGAACGAAATCTACCTGATGATAAAAAGTCAGATTGTTTCTAGAGTGGTTTAGAGGATCTTCATGTTGCTTCTCTGTGTTCTTTTAGTTCGTAGACTTGCAGAAGAAGCAGATACTGTTGACCCAGCTCTTTTTCGGCCTAATTCTTTGAGATTTGGTGTTTCTTGCCTCCACGAGGTCATTCATGTATTGCACCACAGCCTGGGAAGATGGCAAAAAGCATGAATCAATCATCCATGACTGACACAAACGAGAAATCTAGAAATATGTCGAAGAAATACAAAAGGATGAGATAAGAAAGAACCTGAGCGCCCTTTTCGGTTATATCTCTTGGAAGCTCTTCAAGGGGATTTTGTTCTGTGCAAAGAACACGCAGCTGTGAAAGCGTTTTGAATGAGTAGGGAAGGAAACGGATCTGGTTATTGCTCATATCAAGCTCTTCTAGCTTCTCAAGGTTGCCTATTAACCCCGGGAGTGATCTCAGGTTGGCAAAATTATTCCCGATGTTAAGCTTCACAAGCGTTGTGGCATAACATAAGCTCTCTGGTACTGACTCAAGCTCATTGAAACTCACATCTAGCTCTTTGAGGTTAGCCATGGAGGACATTGTTGTGGGTAACTGCCGAATGTTATTGTAACGGACAGTCAGAATTTCCAAGGTAGTTATCTTCCCAACAGCTTCCGGAAGAGCTTTAAGCCTGTTGTAATCTGCGCGGAGTTCTTTCAGGGATGAACAACCCGAGATACTATGCGGAATCTCTTCGATATTGTTTGTTTCAACATCGAGCTTCTTTAGGCTCACGAGAGAACCGATGGATTCAGGAAGTACGGAGAGGCTATTAGAGCTCAAATCAAGTTCCTCGAGATTTATCAATCTACTAACTGCTGAAGGCAGAGATGATAACTGGTTTCCACTAAGATTCAGGTTGACCAAGTTTATCAAATCTCCTATAGATTCAGGGAGCTGACCAATTCTATTCGAATGCAAATCAAGCCTCGTCAAGGACAAAAGCCCTCCTATGGCTGCGGGTAGTACCATGATGCAATTCTCAGACAAATCTAGCCTAACCAAACTCGATAACTTGCCTATAGAATCTGGAAGCCATTCGAGCTGATCCATCAGCTTATGCTGCAGATTTAGTTCCTGTGTAGCTTTCTTGGCCGATACTTCAATCAAACTAGCAAGTTTTATAAGACTCAACTTCTCCCCATCATTGCCTACACACATACATACAATAATTCCACTACAATTAGAGACAAACAGATTCCATTGGAAAACAATCTATTCACATGAAAGTCCAACACTTCCATGGCCTATACATGTAATGATTCCACTACATTTCATTCTGTTAGATTCCAATGAAAAGCAAACGAATCATGAGAGCTTTATAAGTAACCTAAGATGAGATTCTTCAATCTAAAACACATTTCGAAAGGGTCGGTGAAATCGAACTCACCGGTGACTTTCAGTGTTGAATCAGAAATCTGAGGCTTGCGAGGAGCTAATAATCCATCACTATAAAGCGAAGATTTGGCTTTCGTCGTCACAAACGTATCATCACGCGTGAACATTTCCTTGGACTTAACCGGAGTTTGATCGGAAAAATACAAACTCGCCGGAGAAACAAAAGAAACAACCGGCGTTGACGCTGGTTCCGGTTCCGTCCGAGGCATATCGGTAGACCCATTTGAGGAGGAAGGAGACGGAGAAGCAATGCAACGAAAAGCTCTCTGAATCAATTCGTCGAACACAAGGTGTGCAGATTCCAGATCGAGCATTTTCGTGGCTTCTCTCTTCTGTTCTTTGCTCTGGTAAAATACAAGACCTTTCCTCATCTCCTGCAACACGTCGAATAACTCTTGAGGAACATCGGAGGTTTTAACCTGTTTATCAATGGCTTCCAAACGAGCAAAAACGTCTTTTTCAACGTTCTGTATTAAAGATGTTGCAGCTTCAACATCGTCAATCTCTGGTCTTGAAGGTAAAGATTTATGAATTCTCATGATTTCTTCAACCACTTGATTCCTTGAATCCAAATGTTTATCCATATTTACAAAATTGTACAAAAC